TCCTAACTTCCTGTACACTGCACTAAAATCACAAGCAGTGTTAACAGTCCTGCTTCTTCATAGACACAGTACTGTGAGTGAATGTTGTCACCCTAGAACAGCGTGTTACTTGCAGGAACCTTACATGAAAATAAAGGAAAGAAGGCTGAAAAAAGAAAACTAATGTAGCCGAAACATGCAACGACTGGTAACCTGTTATATATTACAATATTGTTGATGGCTTATGTTCTCTTTGGAGGTTTAGGAGACTAAGGGGGGGCATGATTTTCCTGTATAAACTATTCAAGGGCGACAGCAACATCATTAACAAACTGCTTACGGTTAGCTCCGTAACAAAGACCCGAGGGCACAACCAAAAATTGGTGGAAAACAATTTCAACACACAGGGCGCAAGGGGTTCTTCACAGTTAGCGCGGTTAAGGTCTGCAACTCGCTGCCGCAGGAAGTGATTTCAGCTAAGAGTGTGGAATCCTGGGCGAGTTCCTCGGAGACCATAATATACAGGGGTACAGGTACGCCTAAGAGCAAAATCACACATGGACTAATACACACACACCTGCTCAAATATAAATGCATACACACAATAGGTTGGACTTGATGGACTTATGTCTTTATTCAACCTCAAATACTATGTAACTATGCTTTAGATATACTTAAAGCTGCTGATACATTTTAAAGGAAGATGGGACTTGCAGGTGGGATGTGATCATCTAAAGATGGTTCTCCAACCTCAGGCATAAACATTAATGTTCTGATTGCCCCACGGGGCATATTTATCATATGAAACAAGAAAGGATTCATATGATAAATATGAATGAATGAAATATGTAAAGCAAATATGTTGCGCTCGGTCTATGTGAACCAACTACACACTAAAGTGTTAATAAACAAATCTGTGTAAAATTACGACAATCTGTGTGAAAAATTATTGATACAAGTGGATTATTTACATACGACTAGAAGGTTCAACGCACAAACAAAATAAGAATAATAAAAATCAACACTGGAACCTTCAGAATTAGTGCCAGTGATCAACCTCATTGGTTCGGCATGTATATCTCAAACATGTTTGCAAGGTCCCCCTTGCAAACAATAAATCTCCCAGGTTTGCAAGGGGCTGAGTGATGGTACGCTGTTTGTGGTGGAAGACCACACATTTCTATTGTGATAGGCATACACCAGTTAGGCCTACTATCACTTAACAAAACTGTCATTCTGCTGGCCAGTTTTTCACTACTGTATCATCTGCGGTCTCTTAATACCTTTAGTAAAACTCCTGCCTCTACTCTGTGGAGGGGAATTTATCAAAAATGGAGCAGACAGAATCTGGGGCAGTTCCCCTTGCAAACCAATCAGCATCTCTCTTCAGTTTGAGACAGAGAAGCGGATTGATTGCAGGGCAAGTCTGCTCCAGATTTTGTCTGCTCCAGTTTTTATAAATTCCCCCCTTTGTCTTTAGTACATTTTGTCCTATTATCCCTGATTACATATGTCCTGCTGCTGGCAAATTTGTATCTGTTGTTTCATCTGTGGTCTCTTAATTCCTAATGAGAGCTTAAGGGAAATTGGCCAGTGACAGGACTGGACAGGACAAATTGGGCCTATTACTGTTTAAAAAAGCATGTTGCTGCTGAAGCTACCTGAAAATAGCCAAGCTAATTGTAATTAAAAAAAGTCAATAATCCACAGTCAAACATGCGCTGCCAGTGAACGCTGTTGTAGAGTCTGTTTTGAAAATCGCACCACATGCAGCTTTAAGGCATCCCCTAAGCATGTTATTTAATGGATTTGTGCATTTTCAACGTCACCCTCAAAGCCACATTAAAAGTCCCTCTTCCTGCTGTACGTTATTTTTTTCACAGTAGTTTGCCTATTAGCTCTAAAAATCTAGAAATCTAACAACAAAATATGCCTGAACTATGAAAAAAGATTTGCTTAACCCGAGGAGATTTGCCCAACACTACTGAACAGTCTGATAGTTCACTTCTCTGACCCCTGTGGTTTTGTGTGTAGAAGTCACCTCACTCTATCACTGTACACAGGTTTTTTGTTAACAGAATAGTAACCTTAGACAACCACCTGCTGGCTGGATAAAAGACAAGTATTAACATTTTACATACAACCCCAATTCCCAAAAAGTTGGGTGTGTAAAATCGACATAAAAACCGAATGCAATGATTTGCATATCTCATAAACCCATATTTTATTCACAACAAATAGAAAAAATATCTAATGTTTAAACTGAGAAATGTACAATTTTAACCCCTTCGTGACAGGAGACGTAAACTGTACATCCCACCACGAAGTGCCTAAATGACTATTCTCGTACACTGTACGTGATCAGCTATTTGGGGCTCTGTAATGCTGGTGAGAATCAGCAGTTACCGTTCATTAATAGATGCCTCAATATTGCTTTTTCAGACACCCGATCCCTTTCAGGAATCGGGTGTCTGACAGTGAGAGCAGAGCAACATATACAGCTCTTGCCGCCACCGACAGCTTGTATAGATCGGGAAATCCCGATATATAACGGCTTTTTCTTTTTTAAACTTCCAGCAATAGAAACATTTATCTACATGAAACAATATTGCTGATCGTTGTGGGAACTAACAGAAACCTTTAGGCTGGGTTCACACCTGTGACTACTTTTTTTCTGCTCGTTTTTCTGTGCGTTTTTAGCGTGTTTTTTCGTTCAGTGAAACAAGCGTTTGTATACCTCCCTGGCGGTATGATTTTTATTTTTCCTTTTATTTTCTCTATCTTTTTTCTGTTTTTGTTTTTTTTTACTTTTCAAACTTCCCGCCGGTTCCGCACCCCTGCGACGCGGACGCTCGCATGGGACGGAAGACGGCAGCGGCCGGACGACACAGCGGGCATCACGGACAAGGTAAGACCCACACCGCCCCCCAGCCTCCTGTGACAGCGTGTCAGGATTGAGAGCTGGTACAAACACTCAGCGATCAGTGATCGCTGAGTGTTTGTAAATAATTGAGGACATATTATGTTTACTGTGTCCTCAATTATGAATGAATGGGAAGTGATCTACATCACTTCCTATTCATTCATGATTGTGGCTATAGTAAACATACTACCTCCACAAGTTATGAATGAACAGGAACACTCAGTATAGATGATTCCTGTTCATTTATAACAGGGGCTGCAGAAAAAAGAGATTGAGGACTCTGTGTCCTCAATATCTTTCTATTTTAAAAGGAAAATTTTAGGGGTCTAGACCCCTAATATTTCCCCGATGCCCCTAAAAGTAAAAGCAAAAAATAAAAAATAAAAATAAAATATTAACATTTAAAAGTTTATTAAAAATAAAATATTTTAAACACATTTTAAAAAGTTAGAATAAAAAACATTTTCTGTTTTGGCCTGACTTTTTTTTTCATTTCGGTTTTGTTCGGTTTTAAAATTTTCATTTCGGTGCACCTCTATTTTTAAAAACACTACAGATGTGTACCTTTGTACTGTGCTAATGAGTGAAGTGTTCCGTTGCAGTGTGCTACTGAGGTGCATGTCACACAGCAGCACTCCAAGGGAACAGTCTCTCTACAGCTTGTAGTCAGTGGTGGAGCACCAGGGCCCAGTACAACTGTGACCGCTGTGACCCTGGTAGTTCTGCCACTGACTCCAACCTGTAAAGGAACTAATCTCAGCAATACATTATACAACAATGCAGAATACCGCCAACTATAGAGTACTACAATTCCCAACAATACATTATACAGCAACGCAGAATACCACAAGCTATAGAGGACTACATATCCCAGCAATACATTATACAGTAATGCAGAATATCACCAACTATTGAGGACTACAAATCCCAACAATACATTATACAACAATGCAGAATATTACAAACTATAGAGGACTACATATCCCAGCAATATAATATGCAGCAATGCAGAATACCACCAACTATAGAGGACAAGAAATCCGTGATCCAAGCCGGTCACAATCAGGCAGCGGCGGCCTCTAAACAGGCATATTAGATGGCTGCATGCCATAGGTTCACCACCACTGGTCTATAATGCTGTAAATGGAGAGGTTCTTTCTTCAGCTCCATCTTATGGCCGATTTTGATATGGCAGGTAAGCCTATAATTTTTGCCTGTTGAAGGCAGAACACTTTTTTAATTTCCATTCATCGCAAGGAAACACAATTAATGAATGCTGGTCAAGGTAACTGAGGGTACACGTTTACTGAGTGCCACTTAAGAACTTGTTTCTATATGAGGCAAAGGGAAGGGAAAGTTATATAGGGGAATATTAATATTTATAAGGCAAAATTGTAAAAAATACATTTTGTCTTTTTTAATCAAAATGCATCTAATGAAAAGAATGTTTTTTTTTTATTTTTGCCTTCCTGTTCCTGCAACCCTCCACCCGAGTTCCTTCTTTCTTGTCTTGGTGTCATAGGGGTGTCACTGGGACAAAAGGGGTATATTTTCTGAATGAAGTGACAGATGGAAGTAAAAATTTACCGAAGGCTCTAACCTTTCTATTTTATCCAAAACTAAAGAAAACGTTTTGGCTGGAGTTGGTCTTCAATAAATGCTACTACATTGTTGGTGATCTTTTCTTTCTTCTGTCTTTTTGTATGAGAGAGATCTAAAACAGGAAAGGAAATCTCAATAGTTTCTTTCACAGCAGGTCCTGTAATATGTAAGAGGTTTGCCTGTGCTAAAGTGCTTCTATAGTTTCTTTCCTCTGCAACTATTCGTGAGCTTGCATGTGTTCCTATTACTACATTTCAAGACTTCTAGCTGATCTGTGAAGAGCTTTTTATAGACCGGAATGCAATGCAGGAAATAATGGTGCCACCTGTGGGGCTAGGGGTATGTGGATCACAAGACTTTATATAAACGGTATATCTATTTTCTTAACCATTGCTCTCTCTGAATTTTAACACCTGAATACACAGTTGCAGTTTAACTACCTTGCAGATATATTTTTTGCTTTTAATAATTCCTTTTCATATTTTTTATTTTACAGATGCCTGAGACCCAAAGCCCCCTTGCTAGTATCAGTACCAACATCACTGGTGAAGATGTGGACACGCAAAATCCTTACATCACGCAATGGAGCATTGCTCTTCTAACTATCATCCTATGTCTTGCCACATTTGGAAACGCTCTGGTTCTATTTACCCTCCTTAGGCGGCGGAAGCACAATGCCCTCATGCACACATTTATGATCCATCTTTGCCTGGCAGACTTGGTGGTGGCTTTCTTCCAAGTTTTACCGCAGCTTATCTGGGACATCATTGACCGATTTCCAGGTCCAGATTTTCTTTGCCGCTCAGTAAGATATCTTCAGGTTGTTGGGATGTTCATATCTTCTTACATGATTGTTGCCATGACTTTTGACAGGCATCAAGCCATTTGTCGGCCTATGATGACATTTAAAAAGGGTTCAGCTCGGTGGAATATCCCTGTCTGCTTGGCATGGGTGGCGTCCGCAGTTCTTAGCCTTCCACAGATTTTTATTTTCTCCAGAACAGAAGTTCACCCAGGAGTCTATGATTGCTGGGCAAATTTTGTGCAGCCATGGGGTCTTAAAGCATATGTGACATGGATAACTTTGGCTGTCCTTATCCTGCCAGCTTTGTTTATCACAACATGCCAAGTCCTGATTTTTAGAGAGATTCACTACAGTCTGCACTTGGGGACAGAGCGTTCACCGGGGTCAAGACGGAAAGGAAAACTGGTTAGTGGGACGAATGGCTTACCATCAATTTCAGATTCTGGCGTGACAAAGGCCATGTCCAAGACTGTGCGAATGACTTTGGCCATTGTTCTCATATATGTGATATGCTGGGCTCCATTCTTTATTGCTCAGCTGTGGAACGTATGGAATGAAGGTGCCAATGGTAAGTTATTGCTTTATCTTAACTTATTCTTACTGTAGATACAACGTAATTAGAGAACCTATTTATATATTATATATTAACAGTTCAGTTGCACTTGTATGTGCCACCGCCCGCTACACTCTATGACCAGCTTTAGCCTGAATGCAAATAAATATATATATATAATATATACACAGTATATATTATGTAAATGGGTACGCCGTATAAGTCCAGTAGACAAGATGTAAAAAAAACAAAAAACAGAGTATTGCAGTATGCAATGATACCTTTCTTATTGGACTAACATCATATTCAATAGACAAGCTTTTGAGAGTTAACCGCTCTTCTTCAGCCTCTTCTTGCTTCAGCCCTGAAGAAGAGATGTTAACTCTCGAAAGCTTGTCTTTTGAATATTATGTTAGTCCAATAAGAAAGGTATAATTGCACACTGCAATAGGTTATTGTTTATTTTGACATCCTATATAAAATTTAATAGGGATGTCCCAATATACTTGCCGATACCAATTACCGATATTAGACTTTTTGTAAAACAACACAGACTGATGACAGGCTGAACACATGTCCCCACAGCAGAACACATGTCCCCACAGCAGAACACATGTCCCTACAGCAGAACACATGTCCCCACAGCAGAACACATGTCCCCACAGCAGAACACATGTCCCCACAGCAGAACACATGTCCTCACAGCAGAACACATGTCCTCACAGCAGAACACATGTCCTCACAGCAGAACACATGTCCCCAATGCCAAACACATGTCACCACAGCAGAACACATGTCCCCAAAGCATAACGCATGTCCCCCACAGCAGAACTCATGTTCCCACAGCAGAATACATGTCGACAAAGCCAAACACAAGTCCCCAAAACAGAACACATGTCCCTAAGCCAGAATAGTATTCTGTTTTGGGGACATGTATTTTGAGAATACATGTCCCTAAAGCAGAACACATATCCCCAAAGCAGAACACATATCCCCAAAGCGGAACACATGTCCCTAAGGCAGAATAGTATTCTGCTTTGGAGACATGAATTCTGAGAATACATGTCCCCAAAGCAGAACACATATCCCCAGAGCAGAACACATATCCCCAAAGCGGAACACATGTCCCTAAGGCAGAATAGTATTCTGCTTTGGAGACATGAATTCTGAGAATACATGTCCCCAAACCAGGATACATGTCCCCAAAGCAGAACACATGTCTTTAAGGCAGAATAGTATTCTGCTTTAGGGACATATATTCTGCTACGGGGACATGTATTACATGTCCCCAAAGCAGAATTCCTCTCACCAGGCTGCGTGTCGATCTCACCCGGGCAACATATTAACATCTGCAGTGGCTCTGCGGCCACTCCACCTCACCAGTGATGCTGTAACTCTGCCTCCTCCACGTTCGGTCCAGCGATGCTGGGACCCGGCCTCCTCTACATCCGGACCGGCGCTGCTGGGCCCCACCCTCCTCCCCTGTCAGAAGGCAGTGGGAATGCCCCACTTCTAGCCCTGGTGCGGCCACTCCGGCTGCACCGCCGATACTTCCACCCCTGGGGCTGTCCATGGCTGTGCCTGCGCCGGGAAGGAGGAGATAAAGAACCGGACAGGCACTGCCATGGACAGCTATCTGCAGGTTCCCAGCAAGCTTCTGCTGTTTAAAAATTTAAAGGGCCGTTTCAGCCTTAAGAATCGGGGCAAGTACTCGTGAAAATGCCTGGTATTGGGACATCCCTAATATATGTATATTTACTCTTTGTATAAAAATTATATAAATTAACATGCTGATTTTCAGCTGTAGCATGCTTCAGGGATCATTTGATCCAGCTGTAGATCCTGCCTTATCAATCTGTAACCAGATCATGTGATCACCGCCATTAATAAATATACCTGGGTTCAGTTCAGGTTTTTCAAACCCATTGTGAAGTCCAAAAATTGTGAACTTAAAACCAAACCCCATTAAGGGGGGCAGATCTTGGAAATTAATTCTGGCCATTTTCAAGACCAATAAGCAAGGGATTGTCAAAAAAGGATCATGGGGAGCTGGACAGTGAGATGAGGGACATATACCAATGAAAAAAAAGTTTTAATAAACACAGTATAACTGGGTTAGGGTCCACCTTTCAAGCCGACTTCAAGGGTCACATGGATGAAACACCAATCCTTTGAATTACATGCGTGGGAGATGCCTTAAAGCTGTACATGGTGTTATGGAAGTATGATGCTCACAGACACTGCATTTGCATTTTTTTTTACTGTTACATTATTGCCTGGGTTAAAAGATATGTGCATTTTAAAACAAAGTGCATGGGGCAAGTGGTGTATTTTGGTTTTGTGCTGCCCTAGGCAAGAATAAACTCTGGCACCCCCCAATCTAAATTAGCTCTGGTTCAGGAGGTAGGCAGATGATATGGCCAGTAAATAGAGAAGTGATCAGTCCAGCTGGCAGGCAGAAGACATAGTCAGTGAAGCAGGTAGAAGTCGGTCCAGGTAGCAGTCAGAAGACAAGATCAATAACAGACAGAGTTGGCTTTGAGCAGCAGGCAGATGAGTTTACAGGTACAGGCAGCTAGTGACGCATGTGAGGAAACCTATTACAGGCCCTGGGTCCTAGCCTTGGCACCAACCAAATGCAGGCTCAATGGGTGGTGAGAAGGGAGGAGTACGCTGCCTGGAAACAGGATGTCATGAGTCTGGGCCACGGCCACATTGCAACAGAATGCTGAGTGGCACAGCCTCTAGAGTTAGCAGTGGTGAGCCAGGAAGCGGGGTGCAACAGAGGAGTTCCGGAAAGAGATCCAGGCAAGGTAAGTCTTTACAAGGACATTTCAAAGGAGTTGCAAGTCTCACTCAAGAAACCCAATGAGAGAAAACATGAAATGATATTTAGCACATACAAAAAAGTTGTCAGTCAGTTGTTGTGGACAGATATTAGTCCTTAAAAAGGATTTTTGGGTGCACTGATCTGTGTACACAGACAGGACATATAAGAAAATGTACCCCAGCATTGCAATTCAGAGAACTCAAGCATCATCGTTAATGTAAAAATTAGGGATGTAGTCGTACTCGCCCAAATGCTTCGATGTCTAGCCCGATACCTGAGCTTCCGGTATCAGGAAGCCGTATAGCGAGTCATTACACGCTACCCACCTTCCTGATTTGCTGGGAAGCCGGCTCCATGCTATGAGGGATCATGGAGCAGGCTTCCTGGCCAATCAGGAAGCCGGGCAGAGTGTAATGACTCACCGCCTAGCTTCCTGATTGGTCGGAAAGCTGGCCAATCAGGAAGCCGGAGGGCGACTCACTACCTGCCCCCTGGCTTTCTGATTGACCAGAAAGCTGGCTTTATTCTCACCTGGTGACGAGGGAGCATGGAGCCGGCCTGCCGGCCAGTCAAGAAGCCGGGATTGTGTAATGACTCATTGCCCAGCTTCTTGATTGGCCAGCTTCTCGACCAATCAGGAAGCCGGACAAAGAGTCATTACATGGCGCCCGGCTCCCTGATTGGATAGAAAGCCGGCTCCACGCTTCCTTGTCACCTTGTGATGAGGTAGCATGGAGACGGCTTCCCTGCTAATTGGGATGCCAGGTGGCGAGTCTTTACACGCCGCCTGGCTTCCTTAATGGGACTTCCGGTATCGATATTCAGTATCATGTGATCATGTGATTTAACAAGATAAGCAGCGCTAGGAGTTCAATTAGCTGTATATCACACAGGTGGCAGTGATTTAAACCAAAATAGTGTTTACTTAACACATTACTTATATTAAATACTGCAAAGTCAATCCGATGAATTTTTTGTTTATCGTGTCAACACATCAAATGAATAAATATTGTGATGTAAAATGCAAGCTGCTGTATTAAAGACCGCTAGGTCTGAGGATGTTTAAACCAAACAGCGCTAGTAGGTGAATCAAAAAAACATATAATCGTGTTTGTGAACTACAAATCATAAGAAAACCACATAAATGCAAGTGCCGTTAGTCAATAAAAAGCACGGCACTGTAATGGTTAATAAACATGTGTACGATTAGGAGGTGATTTTTAACCAGGTGCTTCTAGGTGTCTCAGTGTATAAAAATAAAGTGGATCAGTCTATACACATTAAAAAAGTCCCCACTTCTTTATACCTTCATGTGCATTAATACCATTAAGTGACAAATCATATGCGTGAAAAAATTCAGGTGGGTAAGCAAAAATACAAACGAAAATAATTGTGAATGACAATTAATTGTGCTGACAAAAAATGTATATAAACAAATAAAGTCTCTGTAGTATACAGCTCTGCTTCAAAGCCAAATAGCAGAGCCTTCCAATGTTCGGTAGAGTAGTGCTTTCCTGGGGTTTGTATTAAGATCAATACATCCCCCTAATAGAGTGCGTACTCACCCCAAACTTTCGGCTGTAACAGACAGCCCCAAACGCTTTGTCTGATGGGACACCGTTACTGCGGCGTCTTTCGTATCTCGTTCTTTACCATCAGTTCTCAGTGTAAAGTATGTTTCGTCACCACCGACGTCCTCAGGGGAATTGTAGGTTTTTCAATTGATAGGGTGTGTACTCACCCCAAACGTTCGGCTGTAACAGACAGCCCCAAACGCTTTGTCTGATGGGTATATAAACCGGAAGCATGGCAGGGGTATGTCCTTGGCTAAATACATTATGTTGGAAGGTCCCTCTTTCTCATCTAAAAAAGTTGGGAGATATGCACAAACTACCTGTTGCTTCTTGCTAAAAATGTAGTGTCCTTGTCACTTCCAGTGAGCTGCACTGAAGACAAGCAAGCATTATCTTTTTAGGTAAACTTACTACTCCTATTAGCCCCAATGTAATGGAGATGAATAAAGGCAAACATTTTAGTAGTCCAGCCTGTGTGACAACCATGGCTCCCTACATATATTCAGTGGAGAAATTAGCACATCTTCCCCAGGACTGAAAGTGTGTTATTTGTATGTTATTTTGTTATTTGAAAGTATTAAAAGAGCATGGGAAATGAAAAATAATGCAGCCACCACATCTAGGAACTGGTAAGCTGCAATATATTACATTTTAGCGTTTGGGTTTTGATTGCTTTTACTATCCAGTGTATCCTTACTCTGGGTGTGGTTGGCTGCTGACCATGTGCTGCTGGCATGAACAGGAAATCATTGCTCAAAAAGTTGGATTGAGTATCTGTCATCTCATGCCTATAGTCAGTTAAAATCAGTTGTAATACCCTGTATCTCATGTGTGAAATGCTAGATTGGTGTTAGGATTGGAGTTTTTATGACCACGTATAGCTTTGTATCGATCAGTCAATATTACAACCTGGTGGAATATTTTCTCAGAACAATGAGAAAACTAAGGATAAAATTAGTAATAGAAATGGACGCACAAAAGGACAGTCACATAGTGGGATGGAAACATTGGAAGCATGCTATAACTTTTGAGATAACCTTTTGTCGCTCTTAATATTTCACTTCCTAAAGCTCTCTGTCCTTCGCTGTCCTCTGGGAACCTCTAATAGCAGTTGTGACAGGAATAAAGCGCAGAAAAAAGAAACTTTACAAAAGACATACATTTAATTTTTTATTAGAGTTAAAAGAAGAGAACTATGGGGTAACATTTTTATCCCATAGTTCTCTTTAGGGTCATGGGAGGATATATACTAACATCCACCCGTGACCCAAAGCTCAGTATATAGCGAGCTATATAGTGAGAGCGCCGCAGCCGGGACGGATCCTGACAATACTGTTGGGATCCACCTAGCTGGCTGATTGACAGCGGGCTCTGCCTATCTAGAGACAGAGCCAGCTGTGCCCGTCCCCTTCCTCCATCCGTTCCCCCAGTCAGCACTGGAGGATCGGAGAGGGGAGGGGGGGAATCCCTGCGGGGAGTGGTGACTGATAGTCACCACTCGCTGCAGGGAGATGATCGCCAAGTGAGCGTGTTGTGTAGCGGGATCCACCTATTGATTCCTGCGGTGGTCGCGTGCTGGTCTGCGTGCATTTCACGTGTTTCAGCTGTGCGGCATGCGGCATCTATCAACTCTTTGTTGCCTTGACTACTTTGTAGTGGCTCAGATCACCTGGAATAATTTGAACACAGGGCTCTCAAGGTACTCAAGGCCTCGGGCAAAATCTCAGCACATCGCCCCTTCATGGCGGAGCCCACCTCTGAGAGCAACCTGTGCCTGGCCTGACCAGTATTGCCGTGATCTCTCCCGACATTCCTTTACATCATTACAGCAGCAGTGCAGCCCACCACAAGTTTGCTTAGTAGAGAAAACCCCCATCTTAGAGGTTAGCGCACATACATGAAGACATGCGTTTTGATTGGCAGCTCATAAACCATTGTGGGCAATGGAAGAGCGCGTATAAACGCTCAAGAAAATGTGCAAAATGCTTCTGTTGCGTGTTTTGGGGATTTCCAATGAAGTCTATGGGGAGGAAAAGCGCTTTTAATTGCTGTATCTTTTTAGGCGTCTGGCGTTTTCCTGCTAGGTGTTTTTCTGCTCAGGTGTGAACCAGGGCCATTGAAAATCATGGGATTTCTTGTGTTGGGCAGTTAAAAGTGCTTTTTGAACTGCTCAAACACCCAGGTGTTAACCAGGGCAAAAGGCAGGTGAATTGTGCATCCACTTGTGTGGTGAAAAAGTTCAACAAGTGTATCCATCCCTGAAAAGCATCCAGAGTAGCCTCTCACCTTCTAAAAAGGTCATGCACACTTTACCCTGTTTGTGTCCAGGAGGGGTTAACTTGCCGTTAAGGATCCACACACTCAATCTCCAGCAATGAACCAACTGCTATTTCTGTTCACATGAGAGACTCCGCTCATCAAATCCAAGATGAAAGCAGAAAATAATTAATTGTGCAGACCATATCTACATTACAACGCTTTATTTATAAAAAAAATACTCACAATGGCAAAACACAGAATGTAAGTTACGGCTCCCACACTTCCAGGCACGTCCACAGTATTTTAAACTCCACCCCGCAACAGCAAACCCCACCCGACGTACGTTTTGTCTCTGACGACTTTGTCTAGGGCACGGGGAAGCTGCCGTAGGGCTGCATGATAAACCCCATAGATTACCTTGGAACCGAGGATGCTTTTATAATTTAAAGGGACCAGCAGTCAAAATCCCAACGACTAGTGATCTGTATGGAGCCCCACAAATAAATACTGATCTGGTGCCTGGGTGTGTGATGTAATCACATAAATAGTAAAATCAGCACCTATAACGAAATTCTATAAGTGCACAATATAGTAAAACAGACTCACACTGTATATAAGATGTACATATACTGTATACGCATTTTAGAATTGCAGGTATTATTGAACTTATACACAGATCCAGACACATAAATATTAGTAGTATACAATGAGACAATCTGATGAAACCAATATCTATGGCAATAAACATATAAACACAGATAATATAAATAGTATAAAGTAGTATAAGCTCATCACGCCATCTAATCCATATATAATTAGGCAGCGGTGCCCATAAGGTCAATCGCAATCTACTTGTCGATCGGTTTTAGAGGCTGCAGAAAAAGAGATTGAGGACTTTGTGTCCTCAATTTCTTTTTCTATTTCAAAAGGAAAATAACAGGAGGCTGTTTAGACCCCTAATATTTCCCCGAAGCCCACCAGGTGCTGGCTACGGCTATGCTCCCGCGGTGCTTGTGCGGCTGCCGGCTGAATGTGTCAGACGCTGCAGGTGGAAAGGGGCGGGACAACTCTCCCCATGTGCAAGAAAAAAAATGTGCACCACGGGAGGACAGGACGCCGGGGGCCTCTAGGACACACTGGAACGCAAGCCGGGCGACTGCCTGTGTTCAGGGGCGGGAGGGGGTGTGGGGTTGTATTGAAGTCAATGGCACCACAGCCATGCCCCCTGCCCACAGTGAAATCGCCCGAACCCGGAACGCAGGCACATTAGTGCCTGCATTCTTTTCCAGTGCGATCTGCAAAAATAGTGCTCGCAGCATTTTTGCGGATCGCACTGGACTGGAACGCAGGCGCTAATGTGCCTTGGTTCCGCGTGCAGGCGATCGCACTGTGGGCGAGGGGCCTGCCTGCGATGCCTGGCTTCGGTGCCATCGACTTCAATGCACTGCCATGCCCCCTCCCGCCCCTGAATGCAGGTGTTTTTTCGTTGGTAGATCTCAATGAGCTCGTCATTTGAAAAGTAGATCTCCAGATGAGAAATTGTGGGCGCCCCTTTAATAAGGCATAAAAGGCATATATGCTGGAAGATATGCCATAAAATCACTAAAATAATGGTCTCAATAATCTTCATAATTACAAATCGCTAATATAGCAATTTAAATCAAAATCTGCATTGAAACCACCCGGAATTAAAGTGCCCATCCTATGAATCCATTTTGTTTCCTTTTGTTACCAATTCCCTTCTCAGATTCCCTCCTCGCCAATGGTTTTTAACATGTTCAACTCCCCAGAATCTCAACCCCTTTGGGTCCCTGTTATGAAAACCTCTGAAATGTTTGGATACTGAATGATCTTTGAATCCTCTTTTTATGTTGTACACATGCTCTTTAATCCTAATGCCAAGTTTTCGCATTGTGTGTCCCACATATTGCAGTCCACACGGACATTGTGGTACATAGATAAGGGCTGCAGCCAACGATTATTTTCATAATCGATTAGTTAGCCGATTATTAACTTTGATTAATCGATTAATTGGATAAAATTTAAATAATGTAATTTATTTAAAATAAAATACACAAATACAGTGTTAGACATAAAGTTTACTTCAGAATAACGGAATGCACATTTTTTTAAATCGTACTGCAGTGGAATGCAGGGCATTACAGTACCACACGTTCCAGTGTGGTCGGGCGATCACACTGTGAACGGGAGGTGCATTGGGGATCCATTGAAATTAATGGCACCGCAACGCACCTCCTGGAACAAAATTTGTCAGGCCGAAACTAAAAATGACTTGTTCCCACTATATATATATTTTTTTTTCTTTTTTTTTAAATAAAATTGTATGTATTATATTAGACATTTTAATTAGTTTCATGGATTAAAAATAATATGAATTGTAAAACTCTAAGCCGATATAATAAAATAACCAAACTTTTATTTAAAATAACATACAACAATAATATTTAACCACTTGCTGACCGGGATGTTTATACCCTTTTCCTGTCCAGGCCATTTTTCAGTATTCAGCGCTGCGGTACTTTGACTGACATTTATTCCGTCATGCAACGCTGTACTGAAATTAATTTTATACCATTTTTTGGGGACAGACAGAGCTTTCTTTTGGTGGTATTTATTCACCACTGGGGTTTTTATTTTTTACTATATAAGAAAAAAGCTTCATCAGCTTCTCTGGGGGTCCCTAGAGGACCTGTTAAAGAGGACATGTTATGTGAATTGGCTATCACAGGGTTTCTTAGCCCCTTATGTGATAGCAATAAAGTTAAGTGTAAAAAACAAAAAAGTTTAAAAAGATGAAAGCATAAAAAAAATAAAGAAGCTTAAAAAAAAAAAAGAGACAAATAAAAATGTTTTTTAAATAACAATTTTTTTTTTTTTTAAAGTCCCCTGCCCCCACATATACACGCAAACATTCGTCGGGTGCGCCTATGTGCGAAAACGATGATTGCGCCCATTATGCCACACATATTACATATCGCCGCGAACGTCGGAGTGAGAGCAATAATTCTTGGGCCATTAATTACTGATAACACTAAACTGATGAGTGGTAAAAGCGTTTAAAGTGTCGCCTATAGCCAATTTTGGGAGTGGTCTTTTTCTGCGGTTTCGATGGTGCGTACAATTTTTACGGCTTGACATGTTTGGTGTTTATTTACCTGACATGACCCCGTATTTTATATTCTACCAAAAAATTGGGGTGATAATGTTTGATAACATTTCATAAGGAAACCGTTTTTGTTTTCAAAATTTAGGGTACTTTTTTTGTTGTATAGTAAAAAACAAAGTGATTAAATACCACCAAAAGAAATCTCTATCTGTCCCCAAAAAATGGTATAAAATTTGTTTCAGTACAGCGTTGCATGACTAAATAAATGTCAGTCAAAGTACCGCAGCGCTGAATACTGAAAAATGGCCTGGATGGGAAGGGGGTTTAACACCCTGGTCTTCAAGTGGTTAAGGTACTTAAATACATTTTTTATATTTAATTCCTGAGTTTGTCACTTTAATCTCTGTACTATACTGTTCAGAGTATATGCTCATGGGGCCTGTTAAGAGCTCAAGACGGACATTGTCAGGTTTTTTTTCTCATCTTCCAGTCGATTCATTACCATCATGGTTCTTTGGTGCAAACAAAGCTCTAGGTTTTATGTACACATATCCAAATGGTGTCTCGTAAATCTTTCCAGTCCAAAGATGCCAAGCTTTGTATCCTCTATTTTTCCTTATGGGAAAACCAGGAGAGTTAAAGACTAGTCTTGGTTTTGAACACTTTAAACAGATGAATCAGGATCCAGATCTTTCATATGGAATCTCTGTATTCAATCACTTAAGCAATCAACCGGCTATAGGATGTTGTACCTGACAGATGTGTATTCACGTTCCTGTGCACCTATACTTCCTCAAATGTTTTGCTTACCATTCTGAAGTTCCACTTTCAGTTTGTTTATCTGCCCTTTGGCCTCGTCACAGTCCTAGGTTTTCTTCCGAAGTAAACTTTATGTTTGTAACACCGCATTAGTGTATTTTATTTTAAATTAAGGATGGTATTTATTTAATCTTTTTATCTGATTAAACAAAAAAATGTGCCCAACAAATTAATTATGAAAATAATCATTAGTTGCAGCCCTAAATTAAAGCCCTACTTGTTACAGAAAAAATCATCTAAATGGTGTCTCGTAATCTTTCTAGTCCACAGATGCCAAGCTTTTTATCCTCCTATTTTTCCTTATGGGAAAACCATATGGAGCTGGGGTCTGTATTAAGGGCCCATTCACACCACATCCAGATCATCTCCAGACCAGATCAGATTGTTTCTGGACCCATAATGTGTTTCTGGACCCAAAACGCATCCTAATGTATCCCTATGCTCTTTCTGGCCTCTGTTCACACCAGCGCAGTCCATGGCAGACCAGACCAGACCAGAAAAATACTGCACGTCTCATTTTGCCTGGTCCTAAATGCACTGGAACTGCGGGCAGGTTCACACCATTTTCTGGACCAGATCGAGTCTGGAAAATGGTGCGAACCTGCCCTAAAACCTACATAGTCCCTGTGCTTAGGATAAATAAAAGAAAATCATTTAGTGAAAATAATTGAAATAGCATTAATTAAACAATTAAAATATTACAATTACACCATAAACAAACTGACATTTTCACACTTATTGTAAAAACTATTCTCAAACACCAAATTAAGGTCCTATATGTGCTAAAATGAAGGATTGCATGAAGGTCACATCAGATTAAAATACTCACCTACAACGGGGTTTTAGCCACCACCACTCCTCATCATCCGTCAATGTGGCTCTTTTCATTTATCTGTGCTGAAAAGGTCAGTTTCATAAAGAGGTTGTATACAGCAATGCCATAGCAGAACACACACCTGTGGGAATAAAAGCCCAGTAAACATGCATGTCCTTTGCCAAACATTTAGCATGTGTTCCACTTGGATTGGGCTTCAGATGCAATCTAACACTAGCCCACAATTACAGCTCCCTCAAAATATTCATTATGTTCTGTTACTATAAAGCTCACCAGCTCAGTCAATGATGTTACACTGAGTCTAATACAATAATCAGCCCAGTAGTTATTCTTCTAAATAGTCAGTTTGTAAATTTCCAAAGGGTTATTGCAGGATTCCTGGTCATGGTCCAGAACAGATTATAAGGATGTTTGTAAAGGGACTGATAATATCCCATGTAGTGTGGGATTGTGAGAAGATGGTCGTTGCCAGGGCATTTCCAGAGGACAATGTCAAATTTATGAGATGTCACAGAGAAAAAACAGCATGAGTGATAAGATTTTTTTGAACTGGGCAGAACTCCAACAGAAATTCTCTTTGAGAAGAATATTTGGTGTTCACTAATAAACTACTAATGAGCTTAAATGTATATGTAAAAGCCTGTGCGTGGTCATATGTCTCATAAAATGAAAGCATTAACATTTGGTGCTCATACATTCTTAGTTATGTCTTCATTTTATAATCGTTATATTCCATAAAGCCTCACAGGAACCAGCAAACTCTGATGCTCCAATGTCTTTCTCTACTTAGCAAGAGAAAAATTAGATGTACTTTAGGGTGCTTCCCGATGTGAGACAAACAGGAAAATATTGGGTATGCAGGATACTTATGATGTTCACACATAGTCCTGTTTTTGTTCTACACCAACAAATCCTATGGGCTTCTTTACAACATTAGAAAACCTAATCAAAGTCCCTTCATTTTGGTCAGTACTAAGTTTAGCCATCTCCCACTATATACAGGGCTCAATAGCCAGGAGAATGTCCCAAGACTCCCTATACCTCTCAGGCAGCTTGTTCCAAATCGCTATTGCTTGCTTCAGCAGAACACTTACTCTGGACTTCTTAGAACCACCTACAAACACCTCTTAAATGACCCTTACAATTCTCAGAGCCTGAACAAAGGGCATATTGGTTGAAATCTGTTATATAATGCTACATTGGTGCCAACCTAGTTTTATTTAGAAATTGCTATTGCTGATATGCTGTCAGACAAAGGAGAACACAGAATTGCTTTATCTTTTGCCTCTGTACTAGCTTGCTGCTGGGTGCACTCCTTTTCATGGGATTTAGCTAGTCATGTACATTACAGTGAGCGCAGGGAAGGCTGCACAGTGGTAGAAGAGTGCAAATACCCCCTGATCCACTTTTGTTTTGACAGGTTAGCTGTATAAATACTGTTACATATTCCTCAATTACTGTGGTGTGTTTGAAACAGCAGCCAACGATCAAAGGCTGATGGCGAGAAACAGCATTAGAAATGCTGAGAGTACTGAATCTTCAAAGTGGGAACCCTAACAAAGCTGATAGCATGTGTCGAACTGAGGACGGCCTTTAAACATCTTGTCAATATATTCTTTTTTTTTAATTTATTTACAAATAAAATGCACTGGTAATGTTTTCTCTACTATTCAAATGAGATTAAAGTGTATATAAAGCCAAAACCCTTTTTAGTAAGAGATTGAGTGGAGAATGGTAAAAACCCTTCTCATTTTTTTTTTGTCAGGACTTCCTGTCTTGGAGACCCATCAGGAAGGGAAAGGAAACAGATGTCCCCATTTGAAGATTTTGTCCTCATTTGCTTTTCAAATGACAGTGGTCAGTAAAGCAAATAGGTAGGAGAGGACCGAGACAACAATATAGGCTGGATGGTGGTTCTAACTCTTATCCACTCTATCCAACAAATTGCTCTAGATATAATCTATAAAAGCATCTACATCTCTTCAATGCATTGTGGAACTTGGTAAATGAAAAATAATGATAACCATGAGCAATAACATAATAATACAGTATAATAATCCATTCTATTTTTTTTTACAGTTTCTCTCAGAATTTTGATGATCTTAGCTAGCCTGAACAGTTGCACCAACCCATGGATCTACACCATCTTCAGCAGCAGTGTATCCAAAGATATCCAAGCCATCCTGTGCCGTTGCTGTAAAAAAAGACCACGCAAAAACTCTCTGCCTGAAGACTCTTGTTTTACTGGTTCCACCTCATTACCCAAGGAGTCCCTGTAGTGAGCGCAAAGTGGAAGATATACAAGGAGATGGAGGCACCACAGTGCCTCTAGTCAGAGGTCCCATGGAAAAAAAAGACAGGCAGAAGATTTATGGCAATAATTGAGGAACAAAAAGGTGGAAAACTCAGATCTGCTTGCCAGTGATTTGACCATGTCACTTAAATATCTAAGATACAGTAAATTAGGAATAAGCCACTATGTGTATAAGAACAAGCTTCTTTTTTTTCAGATTCTTCGATCAAACTGCACCTTATGAAGTCAAGAAAAAAGACAATGATGCATTTGTTGTGAAATGCTGTAGGCACCTATAAGGGTGCTTCCTAAGGATGTATACTTGTTGCCAACAACACTTGTCTCATATAGGACATCAATGGACCTATTTCAAATTATAAAGCAACAGTTATTTTGAAGAAGAGCTTGTTGGACGCTAATCATCATTTTTAGAGTTGAAGGGCACAGCAAATCACCTAAATGACATCTGAAGAATGTTATTACTCTATTTTCCAAGACCAGAATTAAAATCTTCACCCATTTTCTATTTTCATGAACTATGCGTTCCTAAGTCCTGTCTTCAGGAGATGAGTTAAAAAGGCTCATTGAACGGTCTACTACCTGTTGGACTTGCTTGTAATGTGAAAAGCTAAATTTGCTTAAATATTTCTGTAATATAAGAGAATATGAATGTATATCTGATTTCTGTCTGTTTGCAGTAAGATTGTGTTTATAGTCACTCACTCATCAAAATATAAAATGTATCTTTTAGTTTTGAGAAAGCCTTAAGAAAAGGACATAGGAAAGATTTTAAATGTGTTGTCTCATATACTCTATTGAGGCTTCACCATTTTAGTATGTGTCAATTGTAAAGAGACTAGACTCTGGAAGTATGTGTTGTCACATAGTCATATGCTGATATATAGAGGAGACATGATATGACAGAGGAGTTTGTCAATTCTTCCACAGCTTAGACAACCACAAAGGAGGGAAGGCTTTTAATTGTCACATCCAAAAGCTAAATTTTAATGCAGGCCTTTCAGTAAAAAATTACCGAATCCCTATCTATTAGACCCCACCTCCCCATCTAAAATCCTTAGGTGAAACGTAAGAAAAAAAGAAACCATAGGAGGTTTTATTAAGGTAACTTGTGCCAAGGCAAGTGGGCTGGAAGTCTGTGGAATTTTGTCCTTTTTTCTTTCAATGTCTTTCCTTGTGGGGTGGCATTGTTACTCTTCTAGTCCCTCTAGGCTGCATTATGAAGCATGCATGCACATGTATAAGATCTGCACCCCTTCCCTCATCTCCCTGCATAGCCTTTTAGGTAGCAACGGAGAAGAAGTGTAGGGGATATATTACAGGCTGTCACTTGAGTGAGTGAGTCTGCTGGGACGGCTAACATCACATGCAAGATAGCAGCGCCCATCAGAAGCTTCAAGGCTTTTAGATGTCTACACAAGGGGGCTTTTAGTAAATAACATCCCTAAAAAAATGTTAAATACATATAATTGTATGGAAAGCTTGTTGTTTAAATTATTTGTGTGACCACGGGTCTCTTTAAAGTTAACAACAACTGCGGACTGCCTATGGCCATTTAGGTATTTACATATTACATAGTTACATAGTATTTGAGGTTGAATAAAGACATTAGTCCATCAAGTCCAACCTATTAGGATCTCATTCTAGGAGTACCTGTACCCCTGTATATTACGGTCCCTTAAGAAATCGTCCAAAAGTTTCTTGAACAATTCCACATTATTTGCTGAAATCACCGCCTGTGGCAGTGAGTTCCAGACCCTAACTGATCTTACTGTGAAGAACCCCCTTCGCCCCTTGTGCTGGAATTTTTTTTCCACCAATTTTAGGTGGTGGCCTCTAGTTTTTGTAATGGAGTTAATTTTAAACAGTTTAATCGCTAATGTTGCTACCACCATTGAACATTTTGTACATGGAGATCATATCCCCCCTTAATCTCCTCACCTCCAATGTGAACATGTTGCCACTGGTTGCCCTCCGCTGGACTTTTTCCAACTCAAGGACATCTTTTCTTAGTACTGGTGACCAGAACTGGACCGCGTACTCCAGATGAGGTTGAACCAATGATCTATAAAGTGGCAAAATTATAGACTTGTCCCTGCAATACATCCCCTTTTTAATACAGGACAAAACACTGCTAGCTTTGTTTACAGCAGCCTGGCACTGCAAGCTACCTTTCAGTTTGTGGTCTACAATGACCCCCAAATCCTTCTCCATTTCTGACTTCCCTAGCGGCATACCCATAATTGTATAACCCATTTCTTATTCTTATTCTTATTCAGCAGTAAATAAGCTTTACAACAAGCCTCCACTGACCTCTGTAGTTGCAGGGACTGTGGAGCAATGCAATACTCAAATTTGTCTGCAGAACTACTGAAGTAGTTCATGTTGTTCTCATAGAAACAACATAGGATTTTTTTCCCCCTGTTGGAGCAAATTGAACCATGCTTTATAGGGGGTTTTTTTGCCTTCCTCTGGATCAACATTGGGTAATTGTGGGCATAGCGTTCTGTTTAGGCTTTTCTTCTTTTTTTTTTTCTTATCTCTATAGGTTGGACTCGATGGACTTGTGTCTTTTTTCAACCTGACTAACTATGTAACTAAGAAAATGAACTAAATGTGCTCCGCATTCCCAACAATGACCCGATAGCTCAGCTTTCCCTGCTACCTCTCCCAGCAGTGACTCAGCAGCTTTCCAGTCTTCTTAATCTATATTGTAACCATAGAGTAGATGATCTGGGATAGGGAGCTGAGATGCAGACTTGAACAACTTCAGTGTTTCTGCAGTCTAAATTTTGAGGATTGCACATTGTCTGCAAGGGGTTGTTTTAAAGATTATTTACTGCTTCCTAGAATATGCAAATACTTTCAAGTCCATAGTTTGGCCACAGGTTTACTTTAAGTTCTATTGAGAGGGAAGAAGTCCCTTTGACATTTGTAGATTTTGATTTGTTTAATTAAAAAAATTTACTAATAATTGTGCAAGATAAGGTCCCTCATTCACATGATTTTCAGTCAGGTAGACCCAGCTTTAAAACAGCAACCGCACCTTCTCCACAATTGTTAAGTTATCAGATATTTATGTAACTTCCATGTGCTGCCCATAAGATGTAATTGGGGTCAAAAAAAGAAAATATGGTTTCCCACTATGCTACTATGATTATTGTTTATGTAGAATGGTCATTTAATTAATTTCCTTTGAGCTATTTAAGTGCAGAGACTTGTAGAAATGTGAAGTTAGCAACCATTATGTGTGTATTCGTGCCTCTTTCCAATCAGAAAAACATTTTAGGTAAATATTACATTTTGGCCATGCACTGGTTTGGAGATGAAAGGTCTCAGCTCAGATCTTAGCTCTCTGACCATTGTCAATAGTGGACATGTCATTTTTTTCTTACAATTAAACATCAATGCATAGAAATATTAATGCTGCCATTGCTAAGTTGCTGCTGAATGTTCATGCTTCAGTGCAGTTTCTTTTTACCCTTGTTTCACTTATTATTATTATTATATAGGATTTATATAGTGCCAACAAAATGTTGGAGACAGTACAGGTACAATACAATTTCAGTACAATAGGGTTACGAGGGCTCCGCTTGTGAGAGCTAACAATCTAGTAGGTAGGTTTCCTGCACCTCTGATAAACACAAGCTTTATCCAGTTCACTGACTTTCAAAGTAGTAAAGCAAAAATACAGATGACAGCCCTGAAGCATTTACCTTCAATAGATCAGCAGCAGCAATACCAATTTTTCTCCCCTGACAGTAGCTAGTAGTGACTATTCAGAATACCCATCAGAATTTAATATGTGTCTTTTTCCTCAATGACACATTTTTTCCTCGCTACCTGCCCTGATGATGAACATCTAAGGAACAGGAAGTGGGGGAAATCTCCCCAGTGTGGATTTGGAAAGCATTAGAAACTTGACAGAGGTTCTAACTCTTCCCATTCTAAAACAATTTAAAGTTTTCAATGTAGTTGGATTTTATTTTACGTGAACAAGCAGTAAAATCTCTTTAAATCAAGTCTTTACTCACCTCTGTATATATAATAATTGTGGAGAAAAGAATTGTCAAGAGTCAAAGATTTTTTTAATTAGAACAGATCTTGGCAGGCTGCCAACCATGTATTGTAATCAACCAGCAGGTATATTAAGATGTTAGAAAATTATTAAACCTGACTAAAAAGTCTTTGTTGTGATCTTATTATTATTTGGCAGAATAAATAACATCACATTAAATCAGCTAGAGGGGTGAGACTTGTTTTAAAGCTTCTTTACTGCTTGCTAAGAATGTGTAAATAGTTTAATATCCATAGTCTGGGCACAGGTGCACTTTAAACCTAAAGGTAAAATAGAATGTTGGATCTAGGAAAATTATACTCTCAGTGTATGCCCAGAACACATGCACTTTATAAATAACTGTTACTGATTGGAGCATGAATGGTATCCACAAATTTTTATTTATTCACAAATGATTAATACAACAATACAGAATAACGAATGTAATCTGTATAATGTAATCTCAATGCAGCACCCATCATGTTCAAAATAAATTGCTTTTGATTAAATTCTATTGATTATTGCTGGTTGTCAGTATGGCTTGTTTTGTAGTTGGAAAATGTATGCATAACAATATGACACATAGAATTGTTATGCTAGTCCTGAATTTGCAGGTTTCTTTGTGCCTATTTCCAGGCAAAGTAATTGTTAAAGGTTAGAAAAATAAAAAAAATCACTGGGAGGTACGGATTTCTGGCAGAAGAGGCATGCAAAGTCTTGTCTGCCAAAAAACAACTTCTCTCCCCCAGCGAGTTTTATTTTCCATGTACACTGTACAGCGCACTGCGACATGGAGAGTACACTCTTTGCTCATTCACAGCATCTCTAAGATGATGCTAATGAGCCTGGTGCTGGCGAGAATGCATTATTGCATTATCAGTGGCCACCCAATGGCTGAAAAGGATGGCTGGAAACCCGAAAGTAGCGGTCACAGAGATGGCAGCAGTTGGGGGCATAGCGGGGGACAGACAATTCATCACACAATATGGCAAGTGTGGCATAATGTTCAAGTATGCTGTGCATACTTACACATTATGGCAAAAACTCACCCAGCATGCAGTGGTTTACTTACTCTTTAATATATATGTACGTAGGTAACCCTTGTTTTCCGCTCTATCCAAAACAAAATATTTTTCTGGAACTGGGCTTGAAGCTGACTGAGTTGCCCATGTGGCTATAAATGTTAGGTTATGTTCTGACACTAATTTGAACTGAGTTTGGATGAGTGGTAAAATGTCTTCACTATAATAAGTCCAGTTCTCTTTGGCAAATAAAAATGAACTGGACCTATTAAAGCTCCCGGCACTGCATGAGTTATCTGCTTGTTCAACATAGGGATGCAGGAATAAGGCATGATACTTGACTTATTCCTCACTCGAACAGACTCCCTCCCTCCATCCCTGCAACCGCTCCCACAAAGCCTCCTCTCTAGGGTGCTCT